CTTAGCACAATGTTTTTAAGGTTCATCTACATTGTAGCATGTTCCAGAATTGCCCTCTTAAGGCTAAATAATATTCCATTGTATGTATTTTCAAAAGCTAAACTTTTTTTTTAAATCTATTTATGCACTGAGAAAAACTTTTTTTCTACCTTTTGGCTATTGTTTGTATTGTTCCTATGAACGTGGATGTTTGAATAATTATTCAAGCCTTGTTTTAGTATTTTTGGGTAAATACGCATAATGGAATGACTGGATCACATATTAACTCCAATTTAATTTTTTTTGAGGTACTGCCATACTGTTTCCATAGTATTTGCACCTTTATATATTCCCACTGATAGTATACTAGGGTTCCAGTTTCTCCACAGCCTTGGTGACCACTCTTGTTTTCGTTTGACTATTGCCATCCTAATAATTATGAGGTGCTAACTAATGGTGATTTTGTTTTGCATTTCCTTAATGATAGGCAACATTGAGTATCTTTTCATATACCTATTGGTCGTATGTATGTTTTTGGAGAAGTATTTGATCAGGCCCCCCACCATATAGTGGGAATGAAACCCAGGGCTTTGCATATGCTAGATAAGTGCTCTTCCACAGAGCTATACCTCAGACCCCACTTGTCCATTTTTAAATTAGAATTTTTGTTGACGTGAATTCTTTAAATATTCTGGATATTAATCTATTCAGATGTATGATTTGCAAATAATTCTCCCATTTTGTGGGTTGCTGCATTCACCTATTCATGGTCAAGTAGTTGTAATCCATTTTCCTTTTTTTTTTTTTTTTTTTTGAAGCTGTTTCTTGAACTTTTTGATACCATATCTAAGAAATCATTGCCTAACCTAGTGTCATAAAACTTGCCCTCTGTTCTAGTTTTAGCTCATATGTTTGTTTAGATCTTGAATCCATTTTGAATTTTTTATATGTGGTGTGAGAATCCAACTTCATTCTTTTGAAAACTCACCAATTTTAAAATTGTTTGTTGCTTTTCTAACACAATATATAAGGCTGATCTGTGTAATGTTATAAAGAGCTTATCAAGATTTGTAAGAAGGGCTGGGGATGTGGCTCAGGCCGTAGCACGCTCTCCTGGCATGCGTGCGGCCCGGGTTCGATCCTCAACACCACATACAAAGATGTGTCCGCCGAAAACTAAAAAATAAATATTAAAAAAAATTATCTAAAAAAAAAAAGATTTGTAAGAAACAGATGCTCACTACTGTCACAGATAAAATATATATATATATAAAGAACAAATAAAAAAATATATGCTTAGCTGGGCCTGGTGGTACATGCCTTTAATCCCAGAGCTTGAGGCAGGAGGATCATGAGTTCAAAGCCAGCCTCAGCAAAAATAAGGCTCAAAGCAATTCAGTGAGACCCTGTCTTTAAATAAAATACAAAATAGGGCTGGGGATGTGGCTCAGTGGTCCAGCACCCCTGAGTTCAATCCCTGGTCTAACCCCCACCCCCAACCTCCCCACTGCCAGAACAGACATATGCTTTTATTTTACATGCCTTCATATTTTTATTACAAGTTAAAGTAACTATTGTGAATTTAATAACTGTTTTAATATGAAATACTTTCATTTCAGTGAAGATTTTCTTCACTATTGAAGTACATTTTCTTAAAAGAAATAACCAGTATTTTAAAGAGTTACATAACTTTTGCTTAAAGTGATGCCATGGATTTTTTTTTTTTTTTTTTTAAGTCTGCTTTAAAACTCCATTGGTTAGACTAGGGGTACACATCTATGGTAGAACTCTTGCCTAGCATGTGCAAGTCCCACATTGAAGCCTCAGCTCTTCTAAAGTATGCAAAAAGCCTACTGAGATATTAAGTAGAGAGGCTAAGTGTTATATATTCATTTCTATGATACTTTTGTCTTTTTTCCCCTTTTTGGTTTGGATGATTTCAGTTAGCTTTATGCTTTACATCTAGGCAATTTTTGATGTGTATATGTTTTTGTTTTATTTTTCTTTTTTGTTTTTTTAAGTACTGGGGATTGAACCTACTGGCGCTTTATCATTAAGCTACATTCCTCAACCTTTTTATTTTGAGTTAAGGCCTCACTGAATTGTCGAGGCTAACAGTGAACTTGTGAGCCTTTTGCCTCAGCCTTCCAAGTCACTGGGATAACAGGTGGACACCACCACGTCAGGCTGGATATATGCTTTTATAAACATGTACTCTTTGTAAAATGTATTTTCTTCATAAAATATTTTCTTATTATTGTGATAATGGAAAGACAAGAATGAATATTTAAGATATGAATTTGGCTTTGTATGTTTTAACTTTTTTTTTTTTTTTTGGTATAGAGATTGAACTCAGAGGCATTCAACCACTGAGCGACATCCCCAGCCCTATTTTGTTTTTTATTTAGAGACAGGGTCTCACTGAGTTGCAAAGCATCTCACCATTGCTGAAGTTGGCTTTGAGCTCACCGTCCTCCTGCTTCAGCCTCCCCAGCCACTGGGATTATACACGTGTGCCACCATACCCGTCTTACCAGTGTCCATATTTAAAGTTTTTATGACTGTTGAAAACAACTTGTGAAGCAATATTGTTTTAAATACTAATTAGCATTTCAGCTATGTTTGTTTTTTAGCATCATTGCCAGTTTTTTCAGTCCTAGTAGCTTACCTAAATTGATAAATTTATCATTAAAAATTTTATTCTATCAACAGTTTTAAAGAATCATTTATAATGTGTTTTTTTTCCTCTCAGGATATAAAATAACATAACAGATGTCGTACTGTGTTTATTTCATTAGTATAGAACAACCTTTGTAAGTTAGCTTAAGCTTAAAGAACAGTATTTTTCATAAATCAGCATACATTAGAATCAATTGGAGAAGCTGTTAAAACACACCTGTGCCGGGTGCTGTGGCATACCCCTATAATCCCAGCCGCTCAGGAGGCTGAAGCAGGAGGATCAAGAGTTGAAAGCCAACCTCAGCAACCGTGAGGTACTAAACAACTCAGTGAGACCCCTATCTCTAAATAAAATACAAAATAGGGCTGGGATGTGGCTCAGTGGCTGAGTGCCCCTGAATTCCATACCCAGTACAAAAAATAAAATTAAATAAAAACAACAAAAACAAAACAACACTTGTTTTCTGATTTGGTGGGTGTGGGGTGGGAAGAATTTTCATTACTTAGAAATTCCCAAGTGATGCTGATGCTGCTGGTTAGGGGAACAACATTTAGTTGAGATTCGCTGCCATAAGAAATCTATATTGGAAATAAATTTACTTTTCTGTTAAACATAAGAATGGTCCTGTTTATATAACAACTGTGGGAAAATAGAGGAACCTTATCTGTTCTGTAGGTTGAATCAGGAACCCAATTGGGGGCTGGGGATGTGGCTCAGGCTGTAGTGCACTCGCCTGGCATGCGTGTGGCCCGGGTTCGATCCTCAGCACCACATTCAAACAAAGATGTTGTGTCTGCCGAAAAGTAAAAAATAATTTAAAAAAAAAAAAAAAAAAGGAACCCAATTGGAAAAGGCTGGTTTAGAATGGTCTCATTTGTATTAAAAAGAACGTGCATACTGATATATTCTTCAACATTTTTGGTATGTCGGCATTATATTTCTCATGTTTATAAATATTTTAATATTATTTGATAAAACATTAAAAAATTTTTTTTAGTTGTTGATGGACTTTATTTTATATATTTATTTATATGTGGTGCTGAGAATCAAACTCAGTGCCTCACACATGCTAAGCAAGTGCTCTACCACTGAGCCACCACCCCAGCCTGATAAAATACTTACTTTTTTTTGTTTTTGAGAAATGTGAGTGAAAAATTTATTTGCTCATTTGTTGCATTTGAAGTACTCTTTGTTGACATCCTTGGCCTGAGATTCTTTGCCATAGACCACAACTGCAACCAACCACTTTACAGGTTTGCCCTCTGGGTCAGTTTTACAGAGGACTGCCCGTTCTCCTAGTTTCTTGTCTAAGACTGTGGCAGCTTCATGAATTCCACGTGCAGGACCATTGTGCATGAGGGCAGTCTTCAACACCTCTTGTAAAGCAGTGTTGAAGTCCACTACACCTCTAGCAGCAATGCCTTCCTTGGCCATGGCGCCATGACGAAGGGTTATGGGTTATGGATGAAGCCAAATCTTGAAGTAACTGGAGCCTCCGCCTCTGCCCCCGTACAACTTGTTGACAACAGGGAAAAGGCTGAAATACATTTTTAGCAGATGCCAAGAAGTTTCTCTAGATAGATAGATCTCATTTTTCTAGGTAAATAATTACTTTATAAAAGATATTTTCTTTATAAATACATTTAGAAATATGAATTAAGTATTGCATTTTGACCAAAAAGCTTATCCCGTTTCAGAATAATATGGCATTATTTAAGACTTTCTTGAAAATAAAAGGTATTTACACCTGGCCTGGTGGCATACCTCCTGTAATCCCAGCAGTTTGGGATTACAAAGCAGGAGGAATGCAGTTTAAAGCTAGCCACAGCAACTCAGCAAGGCCCTAAGCAATTCAGTGAGCCCTGTTTCTAAATAAAATAATAACAAAGGGCTGGGATGTGTCTCAGTGGTTAAGTGCTCCCGAGTTCAATCCCCCGGMCCCCCCCCCCCAAAAAAAAAAAAGATATCTACTCAGTAGTATCTTATTTGTCTTTAGTGTGCCATTGAATGACATTTCCACAGGCTATTTAGTACTAATGTTTTTTCACTATATGTCTAGAAAAATGCATAAAACAACAGTAGATAGAGCTGACAAGAAAGGTATTGATAACAATAATAATAAAAAAAAGCCTATACAGGATGGAATTTATTTGAATTATCTAAAGAAATAGAAAAGCTCATTGTAAAGAACAAAAAAGAGAGGCAGGTATATATAATATAAACTTCTATAACCAAGTAAAAATAACTTAGCGCTAGTAGATTTTTGTTTTATTCAGGAAAACATTGACTTTTGCCATACAAAGTCCTTATAATTGGAGTATTTTCCTGTTTTGAAATTTAGGGCAGCAGCAATGACTCTACGCACGGTATTATTGTCATTGCAAGCATTGTTGGCAGCTGCAGAACCGGATGATCCACAAGATGCAGTAGTAGCAAATCAGGTAAGGTGATGCTTTTGAAAGTCTTCCTTATACCTGTTGATGAGTCTCTAGTGGTTTGTGACGTTAATTCATGAGCATGAGCTATTGGAACTAAATTTGGAAATGGTTTCCTTTCTCATAGTAAGATGATTTTGTCAGATGTAATAGTGAAACCTTTATTTTTAATATAGTTTAATTGAGTACATGATAGGTGCTATTTTTCTAATGTCTGAGTGTTTCCAAACGTACAATTAGAAGAATTACAGTGAGGGCTAGGCAGGGTAGCTCAGTAAAACAGCACTTACCTAGCATGCACAAGGCCCTGGGTTTGATTCCCCAGCACCACAAAAACAACAAAAAAGGTGAACACCCATGTATCTACTATTTAGGTGGATAGATTTACTTATTTATTTTGAGATGTTGTTCTGCTATATTGCTTAGGGTGGTCTTGAACTTGTAATGTTTCAGCTTCCTGAATTGCAGGGATCATAGAATGTATCCCCCCAGCTTCTAGATTCTGTGATTAACATTTTATTACACATATTATGTATGTATCATGTGAACAGAGGATCATCCTTACTTTTTTTTTTTTTTTAATTTTTGTACTAGGGATTGAACCCAAGGGTGCTTAACCACTGAGCCACATCCTAGCCCTTTTTTTACTTTGTATTTTGAGATAGGGTCTTGCTAGGTTGCTTACAGCCTCACTAAGTTGCTGAGGCTGCCTTTGAACTTGCAATCCCCCTGCCTCAGCCACCCAAGCCTCTGGGATTTCAGATGTGCACTACCCTGTCCAGCTCCTCCATTCAGTTTTGATCTTTTCTGGTGATAATTTTAATCATTTCCTACCATGGTAGTGAAGTGGAATAGTAGCATTACCAGTGACTTTCTAATTGGCTAAACAGAATAAATAGTTTCTAGTTCTGGTATTTAATCACTAAGGTAAGTGATCAGTAAATAATAGTTGTATTGGCTGATTTTATGAATAATGCTTTATTTGAATACAGCCACGCTTACTTGTGTTCTTTCCAGCTATAGTGGCAGCACTGAACAGAAACTGTGAGGTCTGAAAGTTTTAAATTATCAATATCTGGCCCTTTAAAAAAAAAAATAAGTCTACCAAGCTCTATTCTAAGCTATTACAATTTGCTGAACACTTTTAAACCTAGAAATCTCTTGATTGAGATACTTCTCTTCTCATATTTGTAGTTGTTCCTTCTTAGTTCCTACAATTATTTATTATTTTAGTCCTTTAAATGTAGCTTGCTTATTCTGATGTTGTTCCTTTTACCTTCCATTATATATATTCACTTGGGAGATCATATCTACACTGATGTTACCACTTGTACATTGTCCAAAATGTTTAGGATTGACCTCCCTCCTGAGCATCTCTTTTAAACTGCAAAAGTAGCTCTATAGGAATGCCCCTTAGATACAACACATTGCTGAAACTGAATGCAGAATCTTAAAAACACTGCAAATCAGTTTATTTTTTATGATACTATCACCAGTTTATTTAAATACCCAAGTCACACAGCTTTTGGAGATTTTCTCCATGTCTCCTTTTCTTCCTCTTTTCTCCCCCTCTTAACGTTATGGACCATACCCAGGGTCTTGAGCATGTTGGGCATGCTTCTCCTTGTGCACTTACGAGCAGTCTCTCCCTCTGTACCTCCCACCTCTGCTCTTGATTGCATCACCAGTTTCTGTCAGTGTTTTCATACACACTCTGATAGCCATAGGTCCCCTTCTCACACCTCTCTCCCCTTAACTGGCCATTGAATATATGAACTTTACAACTAGGTTATATCCCAAGACCTTTGTTATTTTGAGACCAGTTCTCACTGAGTTGTCCAGCTGGCCTTGAACTTGTGATTCTCCTACCTCAGTCTTCTGAGTGCTGGAATTACAGGTGTGCTCTATTACACTTGGCCCATTTCTTCTGTTCTCTCTTTGTGAACCTTTTCCTTTTCTCCATCTTGTACATTGATAACAGTTTTATACAATATAAATGTTACTTTACTTTTCTACTAAAAACTTGTTAATAGCTCCATTATCACTTATTTGAATCCAAATTCTTTAGTTTGAAGAGGTTCTCCATGATTTGGACTGTCTACAAACCCAGGTTCATTGCCATGAACTTTGATCCTCCTGCCTCAGACTCTAAATGGCATTACAAGCGCGTACCATCTGTACCCAGCTGAAATTGCACTTCTTTTTATGTGTCTTTTCATTCTGTCTGCCATATTTCCTCTGAAGGGAAATTTTTCCTCCTAACACCTCTTTATCCTATTAGATTTCAATTTATGTATTGTCTATTCTTAGAAACTGTTCTGTTCTTCTTCCTTTCCCTTTAAGATCTATCCATTCTTTATTTCATGCTTTTTTTTTTTTTTTTTTGTAGTGCTAGGGATTGAACCCAGGGCCTTGTGCATGCGAGGCAGGCACTCCACCAATTGAATTATATCCCCAGCCCTCATGCATATATTCTTCTTTTTTTTTTTTTTAAGTTGTCAGTGGACCTTTATTTTATGTATTTATTTATTTATATGAGGTGCTGAGAATTGAACCCAGTGCTCATTTGTGCTAGGCAAGTGCTCTACCACTGAGCTACAGCCCCAGCCCGTGTGTGTATGTATTCATATTCTTGATAATATGTCCTGTTAATTTTCTAAGAGTGCTTGGAATTATTGTTTTTCACATAATGTATATGTACATATTTATTTTATTTAATAGTCAAGTAATATGACTTGAATTCCAGTTTTCACATTTCACAGGTTGAAGTTAAACTAAAAGGTTTTATACCAAAAATAGTTGAAATTTTTATTTATGCTTGGTGTGGTGGTACACGCCTGAAGTCACAGCGACTCTGAAGGCTGAGGTAGGAGGATCAAAAGTTCAAAGTCAACCTCTGCAACTTAGGGAGATCTGCCTCAAAATAAAAAGGGGTTGGGGATGTGGTTCAGTGGTTAAGTACCCTTGGTACCCTCCAACAAGATTTTTAAATTTTTTTTTATTTTTTTTTCCTTATTCATTAATGGTAGAAACAAGATTATCATTTTAATATATGATAGAAGCTTATGAGTCTTAAAATATTCAAAATGTTTATATACTTTAAAGAGAAATATTAAAGTGACATGAACTATTACTCATTTATATTTTGTTTTACTAAGCCATGATGCTCCTGTAGTGTTTGAGAATGAGTTTAATTTACATTTTTTTTAATCTTATATGGGAAACATTACTTTTTAAATTATTTTGAATTAATAATCATCTGAAAACCTGGTATAACAGCTGCTTGGGATGCAGGAGGTTTGCAAGTTCATAGTAAGCCTCAGCCATTTTGTGAGGCCCTATCAAAATAAAACTTAGGGTATAGCTCAGTAGAGTAGTAAAGCCCCCTAGGTCCTATTCCCATTACTGAAAGGATATAACATGTTATGAGAACTGTAGATGTAGAATTTTCTTAAATCATTCTTCACTTGGACTGGGAGTTATAGCTCAGTGATAGAGCACTTGCCTTGTCAAAAGAAAGAAAGCACTCTACACTAATACAACTCTAAGAAAACTGCAAAAATCTAGTTGTATTTTAGCCTGAACTATGGTTAGTACCAAAGTTGGTCCCATTTATTAGATGATTTTCATATAATTTTATAAGCTAGTATATGTTTAGTTGTATAAAGTTGTGCAATCTTTGCAATATCTCTCACTTCACTTAATATTAAAAATCTATCACATTCACTGGACCTCACTTCACTTTTTAAGTTGTGAATGGACATAAAACCCTTATTTATTTATTTTTATGTGGTGCTAAGGATCAAACCCAGCACCTCACACATATGAGGCAAGCACTCTACCACTGAGCCACAACTCTAACCCCTAACTTAATGTTAGGTTTTTGCTAATTGTTTTTGTGTAATTTGGAGATGAAAGTAGAATTTTTCTTTCTTTGATGGTGGTGGTGTGCCTTCTATCAATCCATCTTATGAATCGAAGCTTCATGTTAAGCAGTGTTTTCTTTAATGACACATTGAAATGTGAATCACTTTTATAGGGTGGGTGTGCTAGAGATTGAAAACTAAACTCTCAGCCCAGTGAATACCCTCTTTGCCCCTGCACTCAGGATTGACCCTAGGGTACTCTTCAATCATTGAACTACATCCCCAACCTGTTTTACTTTTCATTTTTAGACTGGGTCTTACTAAGTTGCCCAGACTGGCCTCCAACTTGGGATCCTCCTGTCTCGACCAATTAAATTGTTGGGATTTAGACATGTACTACTGAGCCAGACCCAATGAATCACATTTTAAATGTAAATTCATTTTATTTATAAAAAAGCAGGGTATTAGGGCTTCAGTAATATAGCTCAATTCGTAGAGTGCTTGCCATGCATGCACAAGGCCTTGGGTTCAATCTGCAGCACCACAAAAAAAATAAAAGCAGGGTCGTAGGTAATTAATAGATGAACTATTATATTGAATATTATAACTATTGTCATGTCAATCAATTTTTCCCCCATGTAGTACAAACAAAATCCTGAAATGTTCAAACAAACAGCTCGACTTTGGGCAAACGTGTATGCTGGAGCACCAGTTTCTAGTCCAGAATACACCAAAAAAATAGAAAACCTATGTGCTATGGGCTTCGATAGGGTAAGTACATAAGGGAATGCTGATTTTGATATATGTTTATTTTAAATTATTGCTGGAAATCTTAGCAAATTGGTTTAGCAAATAAGAGAAAAATCTAATTTTGATAAACAATTTTTCTATTACTAAAAATCCCTGATTATTTTTTCTTTTTGTTGATTACCAGTCATTGGTTTTAGAAACTTTATATGCACTGAAAGTATGAGGCAACTTTAAGAAACAATGAATGATTTCTCATTAAAAAGAATAGTGATTATTTTAAAAATATTTCCTTGAGATTTGATTTTTGTTGTTGTCGCCTTCTCTTTTTTTTTCTCTACAGAATGCAGTAATAGTGGCCTTGTCTTCAAAATCATGGGATGTAGAGACTGCAACAGAATTGCTTCTGAGTAACTGAGCCCTAGAGAGAGAGCTGCTGATAGTCAAACTTGCCTCTTCTTGAGGAGCACCAACATCTGTTATTTTTAGGATTCTGCATAGATTTCTTTTAAACTGGCAATCTTGCCTAATGATGTTATCTAGGCACCATTGGAGACTGAAAAAAAAAAAATCCCTGCTCTGTAAATAAAGCTAATTAAACGTCTGTGTAAATTTAAAAAGGGGAAATACTTTAATTTTTTTTTTTCATACTTAATAGTGTAAAGATTCTTTGAGCTAAGCTAAAACCATGGAAAAAACATGCTACTTTAGTGTTTAGCAGTGTAACAAGACTAGCAAGAGTTTGCTTCAGGATTTTGTTGAATAATTAAGATAATATTTTGAGTGTGTCAGGGCCATTCAAATTGTTGGTGTTGCATCACAGCTACCTTAACTGTTTTTAACATGGATCCTCTGTGCCTGTGAATTTACTTGCATGCTTGTACTTGACTTCTTAGGATGGGTAGCTGAAAAGACCACCATTTTAAGCATTAGAAAATTCTTAAATATGAGATTTATCCAGAATCGAAGATGGTGACCTATTCAGAGCCTTTATGTCCCTGCTAACAGACTGGGACACTGTATCTATTTTCCCCCTCTTACCACACACAGCTAATATTCTGATGGTAAAGTTCTCTGTAGTTGGTGGGGAAACGTGCTGAGGGACAGTATCCCTTGCTCCAATTTTAGGTCATAGATTTGGAATGTTTTGTCACAGTTTTTTAAACACTCTTATAAGAATGTTAAAATGGAGCTGGCAATTTTTTCTTGCAAAACCAGTAAATACTTGACGTTGCAGTATTCCCAGATTTAATGAAAGAATCCAACTTAGTTTTTCAGTGAATTTGACATTGATTTTTAAACTGATGGAATTTTTTTGTTGAGAACTTAGAAAAATGCAATGAACTATATCTGGTGATTTTTTAGCCTAATATTGGGCTTCATAGAGATTGTTTTATCAGATCATTTAAAAGTCACTCTTGCTTGCACCTTCCCCATATTAACACCTGAAAGCTGTGTTGGTGTTTTATTGTACATACTTCAAATGCACATAGGAATAGAATTGTGTTATAAATCTAGCTTTCTTTATGATGTTTCTGATGAGAATTGAAAACTTTACCTTTCTTGTACATAGTCAGACTTTCTATTCATATTAAAGTTACATTTCATTCTAAGTTCAAAAGTTTGAAAATTATTAGTTTTGCAAGCTCAAACACTTAATTTGACCATTTTATGAAGGTTGAAGTAGATTTATGCAGGCAGTTCTATATATATAGAAATCCAAGTCTTATTCAATTTTCAGGACCAATGCAAAATAACAAAAATGTAATGCAATCAGACTGAATTAAAGTAAGGCTGTATATTGAGAATCATATATAAGATTTGCTTTCTTCAAGTGTTATTTATCTTAAGTTATAATCGTTTGAAGTGTTGGAAAATACCTTTGAACCTATTAAGTCAGCATAACTTCATTTGACTTTTCAATAATCTTGATACTAGAAGCAATAAAAGAACCATTATTAAATATATTGTAATGTTAAAGATGTGAAGGTTCTTCCAAAAACTGATAAGGCTTTTCTAATTAACAGTGAACTCTTATAGTGATACTATTGCATACTAAACACAAGTTGCTGTGTATTTTTCCCTTATGTTTGCTTAAGCATAAATTCCTTTATATACAATCACATCCTTTTATTGCTATAGTTTAGTTATTTTCGAAAGATGCCAAAGGAAACAAGATTTTTCTTTATTTATTTTAAATAGCTAAAACTTCGACCTTTTCTTTATATTTTGACGTAAGATGGGATTGTGTGAAAATATGGATAGTTTGACCCACATTTGGTTAGTATTAATTTTTTTTTTAGTGGAGGGTGGGTTGGTGATGATATTAGTAATATTTGGATTATAAACATTATCACATCTATCCAGTTTACTGTTTGCCTATATTATCAGGGTATGTTTAAATTGTCTATGGTTACACAAAGGAGAGAAAACTCAGAGATTACCAAAGTCAAGCACTTGGCTGCTGGAGGCAGCTCTGCCCTGCTGTGATTTTTATGTATGTTGGCTGTATATTGTATCTGCTCATCTGACTATACTTCCTCATCTCCAGTACCCAGAAATTGGAAGATACAATATTTGGTTTGACATAAAGAGTTCTTAATTATAAAAAGTTATTTTCCTCAGTTACCTAAAATGTAATGATAATCCTTCCTTTCTGTTAACATTTCCTTCTGTCTTTATGGTTTTGTTTTTACTTTTTCACTTCTCTATATGTAGATGTAGTTCCCCCAATACAGAAACTAACACAATTTCTTTTTCCTTCTGTTCTTAAGTATGTTTGGGAAAAGGATACTAAAAATTCAGGCCTATAAGATAAGTACCCTGGTGGAAATTATTTTTGTAATTTGCAGTGTTTTAGAATATATCAGTTTAAAAAAAAAAGTCTTCCCCCCAGCTTCCCCATGAGATCCCATTTAGTTCAGGCACATTTGCCATTATTCACCTACACTATGGTATGCTTTTATTATAATCAGGTATTTTTCCTGAGTATGTGCCTAACTTTTGAAAAAATACTTAAGTCATATATTAGTACAAATATTACAAATCAATGATTGAATGAGTTCTAGTTTGGGACCTAAATACACAGTGGTATGTAAATATTTGAGGAATTTGGCACTAATTTAGATGCTTGAGTTGGTTCTCTGAAATATTTAGAATTGTGACTATGGCTTACTTAAACACATAACACCTTTGAGGATATGTAAATGTTTGGGATTTGAGGGTTTTTTTTTTTTTGGCAAGTAATTTTTGAAATGAAAGACCTTTTTTCATTTTTTTCTGAAGTTTTTCATATGTGATTGTTTATGGAACTTAAAACTATGCAAAATAGTTCTTTTTAAGTATCTGTAAGAAGGATTTGGCAATTACATTTTGCTTATTTATGCACTACAGAATGCAGCATATTATATTACTGTTTAGGCTGCTTAATAAGTTTACCAATGTGAAAAGCAGATCTTGACTGTAAGTGTATGCCTGATTTGAGCTTTTCAAACTCTAGATAAAGTATGATAATGTTTTCACAGTCCTATGTAGCAACATGGGAAGTTAAAGAATTGTCAGTTTGAATGACTTAATATGAATCTGGGCAGAGAAGAGCTAGAGCCAGGTATACCTTCTTGTATATAAATGGAAACAATGTTTAGATATGAAAAAGGAAGCTGTCTGTTTACATTTAACTTTATTTCGTGGACTTTTACAAAATGATATATTAATCACTTTTTCTAGTTTCAAGGAATTTGAATTCCAGGGTACAAACCATTGATTTTAGAAAGTTGCATTTCCATTCTTTTAGTACCAATTTGAATTAAATGCTTATCATCAGCCAGTTGCTGTCCCTGGGAAGAAGGCAACTTGAAGTATTTACTGATAAATAGTCTTTTTCCCAAGAGTGACTTTTTTCCAATGTCTACAAATTGTCATACGTTATATTTGCACTGTTGCAATCCAGATGAAAAATCTTGTGACAAAGGGGTAGGGGAGTGTTGTTATCTCCCTTGTCCTGTTCTGTTACTGTTTTATTGGACTGATCTAACCTCATAAACCTGTGATCATCACCTAATGTGAGTTGTGAATGTGCCACCTTTTGCTTGGTTATTTCAACCATGCTGCTATATATAATCAGGTGTGGCACAGTTTATAAGTTTGGTTCTGAGGGTGAGTGGAGAGAAGTCAATGCACTGTGCTGTGAACGATCCTATCTGCTTGCTGTTACCTATTTTTTACAGGCATCATAATAAAAGCTAGACTATTTCTTTGGGGGAAAAGAGACTTATTTAATGTAATTTAAAGACTTTTCCAATAGAAAATGAAATACTATTGAAAATAATATCTATTTTTTAGCTTTCAGCAATTGATGGTGCTTTGTTGTGGTGTCTGCTGGAAGCCTACTGCCATTATAGGGATTCTCATTAACCTCACTGAGAAAGAACCTTGCTTGTTAGCGTCTCTAGATCCCTACTCTAAACAATCTGTTAGTGATGATAAATTCTGTAGGAGGGTCTATTCTGAGCCATTAACTTCCTGTAAGGGGAAAATGGGTGGGTTACCAGAAATACCATTGAAGTAGGGTGGGGTGTGGGTGGAGGGTTGGGTGTTTGTCTTGAGAATTAAAAACTACGAAACACTTTTGTACACAACTGATTTTTTAAAAAAATAAACACATTTTTAAAGATGTTGAATTTTCCCCCTTATTGGGAATTCTTAAAAATAAATGCATGCATGTTTTCCCCTGAAAATGGTTTATATCTTATTTCTGGATACTCCTCTCTGGACAAGCAATTTAGTCTTCACAGTACTTTGAAAAATAACTAGGGTGATGTGGCGCATGCCTGTGATTCCATCCTTTCAGGCGGAGACAGAAGGATCACAGTTCAAAACAAACCTCAGCAACCTCGAGGCACTAAGCAACTCAGTGAGACCCTGTCTCTAAATTTAAAAATGCAAAAATAGGGCTGGGGATGTGGCTCAGTGGTTGTGTACCCCTTAGTTCAGTCCCTGGTACCAAAAGGGAAAAAAAAAAATCCTTTGATAGATTTCACAGTGATAGGCACATGATGATAAATGCAGTAAAATTGTATCAGGTCTTTGAGTTTGAAAACATGGAAATTGCTTAGTTATAATTATTCAGCGGGGCTGGGGATGTGGCTCAAGCGGTAGCGCGCTCGCCTGGCATGCGGGCGGCCCCGGGTTCGATCCTCAGCACCACATACCAACAAAGATGTTGTGTCCGCCGATAACTAAAAAATAAAAAAAAAAAAAATCTCTCCTCTCTCACTCTCTTTAAAAAAAATTAAAAAAAAATAATTATTCAGCAATAGGACATTATTTGGTTAGTTTCTAATTCAGTTAGTTGGTACTTAAAGCAATACTACTTATTCTGTCTACACATACACATCTCTGTAAACGTTCATGGTACCCTGAAGAGTACTCTGCAAATTGTTCCCAAAAGTTCTTTGTTTTTTTGTACCCAGGGGCACTTAACCACTGGGCCTTACTGAGTTGCCTAGCACTTCGCTTTTACTGAGGCTGGCTTTGAATTCACAATCCTGCCTCAGCTTCCCAAACCACTAGGGATTACAGGTCTGTGCCATCACACCCACTGGTTCTGGGTTTTAAACCTAGTTTTCACTCAAGATTACAGAGCCAGGACTTTTCTGAGCTTCGTTTTTAAATGGGTGAAGGACTTGCCCAGTACTTTCTGGCATGTTTATAGATAACAAATGAAATGATGTAGTTGTAAAAATACTTTAAATTTTTATAGACTTCAGTTTTAACACTAAATCTTTGCCAAACTGAGAGGACTACTTTGTACCCAACCTAAAACCACAAACAGGATGACTTGGTTTCTGAAAGTTGTATTGGCTTGGCAAAGTAGGTATTCTTTCAAAGTCTAATGTTTGGGGCTGGGTGTGGCTCATGGTGGTAAGGTATTTACCTCACATGCATGAGGCCCTGTATTTATTCCTCATCACCACACAGTCTAATGATAAAGAACTATCCATGAATTTTCCCTTCCTCCATTAATAGTATAGAGGGTATATTTTAAGAGTTTGTCCTAATTATTTCACATGGTAAAACTGATTGTGTCTTTAGGGTATTTCTAACCAGCTCACAGGCTTAGGAGCTCTGTTGCCTGAAGATGGACTTGCTCCAGGTCATTGATTTGGAATATGCAGTAGGAAGTGTCCTTTTCATGGAGCAAGGCTACATCTTGTAAGTGCTAAAAATCAAGGATAATGAAATGAGCCCTCGTGCCTAAGTAGTAGATGGTCAGATTTAAAGGGCTGTAAATACTTGGTACTTGTTTTGATCATGAGATAAATTTTCATCAAATAACCTAAAGGTTAAGAAGAGTAATCTTGGAGTTGCAAGTATAGCTCAGTGGGAAAGCACCTTACCTAGCACATATAATGTCCTAGGTTTAATCCCCAGCACTGAGGAAAAAAATGGGGAGGGCTAACTTTGTCATGATGTAAAAAAGCAAACATTTTAAGAATTAGGACAAGAGTGATAGTCTGTTTAGGTGATTTTTAACATGGTTGAATTTCTTTATTTAAACTTTATTTTTCCAAATGTTCTTTGCTTTTTAAAAATCAGTAATGGGGAGGTGTTCTTGGTGAAGAAAAATTCTCTCTTTCTACTTTAAAATTCCATAGAGGACTGGGCTTGTAGCTCAGTAGAGCACTTGCCTAGCATGTGTGAGGCACTGGGTTTGATTCTCAGCACCACATGTAAATATTTTTTTTTAAAAAGGTCTTTTCTAATTTTATTTTGAGACAGGGTTCAGCCGAGTTGCCCAAGCTGGCTTTGAACTTGTGATCCTCCTGCCTTCCCCTCTGGTGTTACTGGGATTATAGCAAGAGGCTAGTTTTTAAATGGCTCTTATTTTGTCATTGTTTTTGGTACTAGGTATTGAACCCAGGGACACTCAACCACTGAGCCACTTCCTCAGCCCTTTTTATATTTTATTTAGTAGAGACAGGATCTC